TTTGTCGTTACTTGCAGCCTCGCCGGGGTCGGACGCGCCTAGTCCTTGAAGGTAGCAGCTCCGTGGGCAGCGTGGGGTAGCTTGGCGGGCAGGGCTCCGGGCAGAGGCGCCGATAGTTTGCCTGAGGGCAGGTGGAGTTGGGGGTTTTCACCCACTGTGAGCGGGGTGGCGGAGACGTCCTCAGGGCGCTTTCCTGGACAGAGGGTGCTGAGGGGGAGGGCAGGGGGGCGATGGGCTCTGCTTCGCGCCTTATTCTTCCCCTTTCCCCCTCGTCCAGAGAGAGCGAAAAGCGGTGGCAGCCCCTCTCTGTGGGTCCGGGCGGCTAGGCGGGGGCTGCCCCGCCGAGGGCCTTTCGTGAGGGATCTGAGCTGCCCGATGGGTCCTCAGTCCCCGCTCCGGTGGGGTACGCCGCCCGGCGTGTCCGTCCTGGCTGGTGTCCGCAGATGCGTGTGAGGAGGGGGGTTGAGAGAAGGCCCTTCGCAGAGCAGGGGAGAAAGCACAAAGTTTTCCGCTGTGCCCTTATGGATCTCTGGGAACCCGGGAATAAGAGACTCACTTAGAATGGGGAAGTACAGGAATACGTTTCAGTAGCACAGAGGCCCCATTTCTGCTTACAAAGCAGGGACCATTCCGTAATTAGCTTCTCTTATGCTTGAAGTAGGAGAGAGAAATCCTAAGAAAGTCCGTAACGACTTAGAAAGGCCGTGACAAGGGTGCAGTTAGACTCCTTAGATTAACGGATGGATTAAAAAAAACACCAAAACTTTTCGCTGATGTAGGTTATTGCTATCAGATTTAATCGGCTACTAATAAGGAAGGTTTTCTGGTCTCTGACTCTGTCCCTATAACAAAAACGGTACTTGGCAGGAGATCATCGAGAGATGCTTTTAACAACCACCTTTGAGCTGACTTGGGGAAAGGCCTGGACACGAATTTGTTAAATTTGTTAGAGAGTATGTGGCAGCTGATTTCTCGCGATTTGAAAGCTGAGGTCAAGTAGTTATGCTTGCTCATTCTGTTGAAGTTTGGGGGGGTGGGGGGAGGGCTGGTAAGGTAAATAGGTCTATATTGCACAATTCTGTTGGAGTGGAACGGTTTTGGAAAAAAAAAATAAATCTGGTACTTTTGAGAGGCTGTAATTGTTAGAGACAGCCATTGCGGAACACTTCTTAGCAGGGGCAGACTCAAATTGCCTTAAAACGAGTTCTTTCTCTTATTTCCCCCCCTCCCCCATTGTCCCAAATGAAGGACTCTCATGAGAGTGTGGGCTGGGGGTAGGTCTGAAAACGTCAAATGATTGGCAGCGATTGTAAGATGACTTTCTAACCACGTCAGTTTTTTTTATCTTGTGAGAAGTAAACTTTCTCATGTCTGTTTTTCTGCGAACTAACTTCACCACTTGCAGCAGCCTAAACTCTTTGGAGAGAGTTTTGCTCCTGCAGTCGTCTTCTCATCGGTTGCTTTCTATTTATACTTTCTGGGAGCTGCGCTTAAGTGCCAGCTGATGGACTTTTGTAATGTTTTGTTCTTGATCAGTTAACTTTAACATCACAACTAGATTAAGGTATTTTGTTTCGCTTTTCTTTGTTTAAATGCTGAATGCTGGCAGTAGTAGTTGTGTTATATTTTGTGAATTGAATGTGTTGACTTAAACTGTTTAAGAGTCAAGTCTTTGCTATAATTGTGCAGGTCTTTGTTTATCTGTCTTTATAAAAGATATAGTCAGTGTGGACTGTTGAAAGTAAAATGCGTGTCAGGACTGAAATGTGTATGTAAAGACTGTTTCCAGAAGACATATGGCTACTCAGTTTGTTATTGCGAATGTGTCTTTAACTCTTTTGCCCCCAGCATCATGGTTCTTTGAGCATAGTAACTGCATTGAACATTGCTGTATCAGCTTTCCGTAGGTAGGTTCATGCTGTTCCTACAGTTTAGGGTCGGTCTGTTGTTTTGGGGGGTGGTGTATTTTTAAAATATCAGTATGAGGCTAAGCTTGAGGTTTTGTTTCAAATTTGGATTTTTGTCTTCAGAATACCTCTAGTCTTCAGTTTCTAAATTAGTCAAACATCTGGGCAAATGTGTAGGTATATTCCATAGGGGATTGTAGTTGAATGCTTAGATCATGGAGTTTTCTTGTTTACGTTAGCCAAGGAGATAGATCCCTTCAGTACTTCGATTGCTCAGAATGGAAGGGGAACAGCCAGAAGAGGTCGTGCAAAGAAAGTGCACCAAAACCTCTACAGCAGCCCATCGGAAAGGCAAAGAACCCTTAGAGGAGTCCACCAGTGTACTGGAAGTAGAAAACGCAGGTGACAAACAGCCTGGTGAAGTATCTCCACAAGGTATGTCTGAATATTTTGGTTCTGATGGTGTGTAAACTTGATGACAGTGCTGGTTTAGCAACAACGTTCAGTTGAATTTACCAAGTGTTCCAGATAGGATTTGCTCTTTGCTCTTCTAGAAAGGAATATTGAAAGCCTTGACTCCTGGCAAGTTTAAACTGCGTTTAAAATGGTAAAAAGAGCCTGCAAAGTTAATGTTAGAGTTAGTGTTTGGACCAGTGATTTAGTACAAGTGCAAAAGTGATTTGTAGACTTTCTCCTAATAAAGCCTATTTAATATTCCTGATCTGTAACATTGTACTTAAGATTGTGGTACAACAGCAGGATTTTTCAAATTTATATGCAGCCAATGGTATGGGATTTCTTGGACTGGAATAAATGTCAAGTTTATTTACTTAACTCTTAAAATGATTTGACTTTCCTTTTCATAGAGCAATGTACTTTATTGAGTTTTTGCTGAAAATGTCTGGGAAAACAGCAGTGGGTGTCTTTTTAGGTAGCCAGATATGCAATTCTTAAAGCAAAGTATTTGACAAACAGATTAATGTCTTGAAATTGATGGCAAAAACTGCTTTCTATTTGAAGAAAAGGTTGCTAGAAACTGTTGAAAAGCTGCTTTGCTTACAGCTAGCTGATATTCAGGGGGCCAGTTTGTTTTCGTAACAAACTTCCTGTCTTTGCAGAGTAGTTGTGCTGTCATTACAGTTTTCAGAGCATTGTGCAGCGATCCCCAAATCTTGCAGATCGACTTGTGAGCACGCTTGAAATGTGGCTTTGCACTTATTAATCAGAAAGACTTTGCCTGTTTCAGATTTGTAGGCTTATTTGTGACTGTTGTAGCTATTGCAATTACAGAGTGCCTATTAAATTGTGTTAGAATAAGAATTACATAATGAAAGAACAGACCCACTAGTGAATCGATGGGACTTCTTAAGTATCTCTTTTTAAAGATTCAGTTCACGAAAAGAAGAATTTTAATTCCACTTAGCTCATTTTAATAATTGCAGGCAAAGGTGGAGGCTTGGTTCATATAGAAATGTTTGCTTTTCCAGTTGGACATTTTAGAAGGTGTCTAGTCACCAAGAGCTTATAGTCTTTTTTTTTTCCTTTCTGTTTATTTTGGATGGTTTTTAACAGACTCAAATGAGGTGCTTGATAAACGAACTTTAGAAGAGATTTTGGGTAGCATTTCTCCTCCCCCACCTCCAGCAAGGACCAATGAAGCTGGTGCTCCTCGTCTCATCATATCTCATATTGTAAACCAGAACTTCAAATCCTTTGCAGGGGTGCAAACCTTGGGACCTTTTCATAAGGTATCTTTCTTTTACCTTACACATTTTTAAATGAAGGTAAGACTTCGCTGTGTGTTAGTATTCCTTTCTGTATTTTCATGTAAGCTTACCTCAGAACAACTGAAAAAATATTTTAGTTTTAGAATTATTTATATAGCGATAGTCTAAATTTTCATTATTGGACAGTATAGAAAACAGTTAAGTGCAACTTTCTGATACTGTATAATCTGAACTTATCAGTAAACCTTAAAAAAATCACACTTTTTCTCTTTATTTCGTTTACTAGAGAACTGTTAGGGGTGTGTTTGAAGAATGAGAATATTTTTTTAGTGCCCATAAGAGACTTACGTGGCTAATCATGAAACTTGCCTTCCAAACATGCTTGCTAAAAGCAGTGTCGCTTTTAGTTAACAAGTTAAAATTTAGAAAGCTGAGCTGACTTGAGGTGCATGTTTTTTTCTTTAAGTTGTACTGCTTTACCTTTTGATGGCTTAGTTTTTACTGCCAATAGTCTGCAGTTTCTTGCACGAGAAATGATTGTGTTTTAAACTGTTCACAAATGAAGTGGGTGATGCACACTAGCCAGGATCTATTTCCCTTTGAATATCAGTTTTTTTCCTTCTATTATGCAGCATTTTTCATGTATTATTGGGCCAAATGGCAGTGGAAAATCCAATGTCATTGATTCAATGCTTTTTGTGTTTGGATATCGAGCACAAAAAATCAGATGCAAAAAACTCTCTGTGCTGATCCACAATTCTGACAAACATACAGACATCCAGAGTTGTTCAGTGGAAATTCACTTCCAAAAGATCATTGACAAGGTATGTATGCTTCTATTCAGAACAGTGGAGGCTTTTTTTTCTTTAAGGGTTTGAAAACTCTGAATATTTGGTTATTTTAGTTTGAGCTGGGGAGAACTTCATAGCATGATTAATTTATCTTTGGAGTGTAAAACATCAATTCAGAGTTAATTAGCTGAAAAAAATTCTCTGTTGACTAATGCAGTTCTTAAATTATTAGTAGGGATTTTTGATTTTTTTTGACTAGTATCTGTTACAAGTAAGTTTTAAAGTGACTTAGAAATATGTAATAATCATTTTAAGAAGAAGCCATTTTAGAGTTGTCATGTAGTTTACCTCAAGTAAATAAAACTTATTTCTGAAGTTTATCAGACCCCTAAAAATTCATAAGTTTGTTTAGACATGTTATATATATTCTTAAATTTATAATATGGGCATATATATTAAGAATTAAAACCTATTTAAGCAAACCTTTCAAAGCTATTAAAAACTGGTTTAGGTTATCTGAATTTAGAAAAATATATAATGAATCTGAAACTTTCTTATTTATACTTTTATATACTGTAAACATGCCTGCAATTTTTAAAACACTTTTTTAATCAAAAATTCTGGACCTCACATCCTACCATTAAATATCTTTAAACCTGATATTTGTTTGGATGAAATAGAAAGTGTTGGCAAATTTTTTAAAAAATATTTATTTTGCTTTCCACTTCGTGTACTGATAAAAGCTTCTGGATGTTTTTATTTGTTTCATTGCAATTATATTGCAAGGAATTAATTTCTTAATTTAAACTTAATTTTTGTGGACACTTTCTACCTGAAATATCAGCTGTTGAGATCGCAGTCAGTCAAAATATTGGGAAATGTACATTGAAATTTCAAAAATTGTGTTAATAAACTGGCAGTATATACAGCTTTTGAATGAACTGTTTTAAAAGGCAATGGCTTTTTTTGACTTGATATATATACACATACCTTTAACTTGTATTTATAATAACAAGATTCAAAAATTATTTCTTTTTACTTGACTTTTGTTTTAACATCTAGCATCTAACTTTATGATCTAAAAAACTTCTGCATGTACTAGATACCAAAGTGATTATGCTCTTGGGGGTTAATCTGGGAAAGTGGTAGGCGAGTTTAAGTCTTTACAAGAAACATGCATCAATTTTAACTTTAAGTATAGTACCAGTTTTATTTCAGTTGTTGCTTTGTAGATGGGTCTAAGATATCTTTTGAAGCTAACGATGTCATATTTGTCACATCTCTAGTGTTTTGCTTTTTTATCTTCTACAATTTCTCTTTAAAGTACTCAGCTAAAAGTAACTCCTTTTCCTAGCACTATAAAAGAGGAGTTTAAAATGCAAACAGTAGTTAAGTCATTCAAGACTTCCTAAACTAAAATTTAAAGGGTGTAATAGCACAGCCACTTTAATTTGAAGTAGGCCTTTTCCTTTGTGATTTGAGGCAGTGGTAAAGAGTAAATTAAGTATTTTCAAAGCAATAGCATGTATTAGAGGTGGAAAAAGCATGATATGAAGGCCATTCAGTTTAAAATATTTGGGGTATTTTTGTCTAGTTCTCAAGGAGTTTTTTGGGTTTTTTATCTTTTCATCTTTTTTTTTTTCTTTGAGATATTCAGCGTTCAGACAGTTCCCACTAGATCTCAGAGTACAGTTGACTTAAAACCTGGACATGATAGAACTTCAGTGCCTAATTGTGAACTATGAAGTAAACTGTGATATAGTAATTGTTTTTCTTTGTTTTTCCTCAAAACAGGAAGGAGAAGATTACGAAGTCATTCCTAACAGCAAATTTTGTATATCTAGAACTGCCTATAGAGATAATTCTTCTGTCTACTACATCAATGGGCAGAAAAAGACATTCAGAGATGTTGGTATTCTTCTTCGAAGCCATGGGATTGATCTGGACCATAACAGGTTCTTAATTTTACAGGTTGGTGTATGCATAAAAACAACTTTAAGGGAAGTAATGTTTCCAGTTATAAAAAATACTATGTATTAAGTCTTATATTTGACACCTTAAAGTACTCTAGCAGCACATCATGGTTTGTATGCTCTGATAATGATGCGAATCATTATTTGCTGCTTTAGAAATTTAAGGAAGAGAAACAATTGAAGATACTAATTTTCTATTATCAAATTTGTGTTCCTGACATGTGGATGAATAGAAGAGTTGTCATACTTGTTCCGCCCTAGCAGCACGTAAATATTGGTGTAGTAAAATAAACCTTAAACCCCAATATTATTGTGCTGCTTAAGCGTGGCAGAGATTCAGCAACTTGTTTATAATTTAAATAAAAAATGCATCAATATTAACTTAAATATTAATAATTCTACTGTTAAGTTATCTACAGCTCTCATATATAGAGACAGTTTTTACTGGAGAAGTATGTATATAAAATTAACTGCATAAAAATTGAGTGCAAGAAGAAAACACATGAAGTGTACTTTTTTGTTTACACTTGTTAAACAACTGCAGAGAACTCAAAGAATGACGAGTTTATAGCCAATTCAAGCTATGACTTTAAAAGCTACAGTTTACAACGCATGCTGTAAAAATAATCATAGAATTTTGTCAATATCATATCATTTATGTTCACTTTTGACTTTAAAATTATAAAGCTTGCTGGCATATGTTTGCTGTTTAAAATACAGGCTGAAGAGAACCACACTAATTTTTCAAAATTTATAAATAACAATGGAGAATTTCTTTATGTGCTAAACAATTACTTAAAATGTAAATTAAGTTAAAGTATTTGATGGAAGTATTTAAATTTTACTTCAATTGAATAGTTAAATCTGCAATTACTTGTAGTTATATCAATGTGTTACTAACAGGTCCCAAATCTACTCTGAAGGATTATGGCATAGAAAATAACTGAACAGTGGAGCATCCCAAGGCTTGAAATTTTTCAGTGGAGTTTATTTTAGACCTGTTTTTGTCAAAGGAGCTTCCAGTTCCCCTCTAAAAAAAAAATAAATAAAAATTCTAGATGGGTTGCTGTGCTTGCTTCACTTCCTCAAGCTTTTTCATGCAGTCCTTTTTTACAGTTACACTCACAAAAAGAGGATATATCTGTTTTGAAGTTTCCATGCCAGTTAATTATGCCCCCCCAACACTTTATTCCTGTATTTTCTGTTTCAAGATGCAGTGAGAGGTATCTCCAACAAAAAAACTGTAGGAAACACACTCTTTGTTGTTTTTTTTTCCATACAATTGTCCTTAAGTATCATTTTAGCAAAATTTCTAAAAGGGAGAGAATGCAGAGTCAAAGATTAAGCTAGGTAGAAATTATGATGTAGAGCTATTTAAAGCTTAGTGTTAAGGAAAATGTCCTTTTTCCACTGGGAAGAGGGGAAGGGGAACATTTGAGAGGGAGTAATGCTAAGCTTCTTAATTTATTTTTTTTTTCTGCCCCAAATGTGATTTGTTTTTTTCTCCCATTAATTTTTTCCCAGGAAGTTATCAATGAAGAGAATATACCTTTTCCTAAAAGCTTGAGTTAGATGCTTTTCACCTGTACAATGGGAAATAAGGGGGAGATACAACCAATATTAAGGCATGAAGCAATGGTTTCCACCTTTTTTTTTTTTATTTCACTAAACTCATTGTAGATAATGTCTTGAACAGCAGAGGAAACTGCACTGAGGTTTTCTGTGTTTCTTTAGTCTTTCTGACTGAGGCAAGGTCCTTTCTCTCTGCGTGTAAGGTTTTGTCTTTTTAAAGTGAAATCTACTGATTTGGCGATTCAAAGTTGAGTACTTTCCAGTTGGGAATTGTAGCAGTATTTTCCACATAATGACAGCAGAACTCTAAAACCGATATACTAAAAGTTACAGCTAGGAGTAAATAAGACCATGTCAGCTAAGGCTGTGAACTACTATCACAAGGGTTGCCTTTTCCCCTAGTGTTTCTCAAATTAATTTATTTAAAATTAGAAGGATAAGTAATAGGTTCATTTAGTTTACACTCCTCTCTTGTTATAGCTAAAATATAGGCTACCCTACGTTTAACTTGATATCAAGTCAGGGTAATTTTTCATTTAAAATAAGTTATAAATCACTTTGATTTTTGACTACATCAATAGAGCGTAATTGAAATATTTCACTTGTAGTACAGATTTTGGGCAGAAATGTTAATTAAGGATTCTCAAAACGTTGGTTTTGGTGTATAGCAGAATATTCAGTAGTTAGCACTAAAGAAAAAGATGTAAGAACTTGTCCTACATGTAGTAACAATACCTTTAGATACTTGATTGTATCTTGCTAACGTATTTAGAATTACTCAGTGGAAAATACTTTCATTTTAGAATTCAGCTTTCTTTTTTAGACTGCTTCTCTCCAATTTACCCCTTATTTTGCAGTCTTTTCTGCCATAGCAGATTTTGATGCCTTTTAGAATAAAATTTGAAAGCTTAGGCCAAACCGAATTTTGTAATACGTGGGTAGGGCAAGGTACAGGTACTTTTGCTGATGCTAAACTAAAAATATTAAAAACAAACTCCTCATGACTTTTATGAGTAACATTACAAAAACCACCTGTGGAAAAACAGAACATGTAAGACAATTTGAGTAGTTTTAGAAATACTACAAATTCTATGCCTGAACTAGCAAGTTGAAAAAAGTCTTATTTAAAAATGGTTTTGGTTGAAATGGGATATTGCCAATACTTAACAGGAGGAGTTTGTCATTTTCGTGATACTTAAGTTTTAACACTACATATTTCATGTTTTTAATAAATAGCTATATGCTTTTAGTACTTTAGGAATAGACAACTATTCAGTGAACTTTTAGTGAGCTTGCCACAGCCTGAAACTGCAATAAGAAAATATGCATCTTGTTACTTTAAGAAAAAAATAAAAAGAAAAATGAAGAAAAGTATTATAACCATTGAGGTAAAATCAAGCATTTTGCTGCTATTTTTGTGTCTTCCTTACCTAATGCTCCAACTTCAGTAACTTGTATTATCGGTAAAGAACAATAAATTACTTAGCTTTTCTCAAAAGACTTAATTGAAACATCTATATCTATATCTATATATATATATATATATATACAGAAAACTTGTGTGCGTTCTGTGCTCTAACTGGGCTGGGCAAAACTCAGAAGGTAAGTGTGCTTGCTGTTGCTCAGGAGTGACTCCCCTGAACAGATTAACCTTGAGGCCAGCAAAAATATCTCTGCCTCTTTATTCTGGGTGATTTGCCTCTAAGGAATTATTAAATAAATGGGGAGCACTTGAAGGAATGTCGGTTCTGGACATCGCAGGGTAGGCATGTCTGGGGAGCAAAGCAAACTGGCTATGGACAGCAACCATTAACGCCTGCTGAAGTTGGCTTTTGCAGTCTTTCAAGGTAAGATAAGTATAGTAGATCCAAACTTTTTAAAAGGAAAGTTAAGTTTCATAGGTAACTCCCATTCAGCAACTTTACAAATGAATATTGGTAATAAATGGCACAAGACACAATTTTGTACTAAAGATAGTGTCATGGAGGCAGAGTTGTGAGAGCTGATTTCAGCTTTCAAACAAATTGAAACTTGTTTTAGGTAAATTTTATACTAACTGCAGTAGACTTCTGCTTAAATGTATTTGACAGACTTAAAATATTCTCATGTAATCCTAAGCAAGTATAAACAACTACAGTGATTTTATATGTATTTTTGTAATTGATTGGAATGGCCTTTTGTAATGTACTAAGTCTCATCCTATGGCAAGATTATGTTGCCAGAAAGGAAGTTTGGTCAAGTTTTTCACCTGCTGCTTTGTGGAAATTATGTAGG